CATAATTCACAATAAAACATTTAAGAGAGAAAAAATAAAGGTTGATGATGAACCGTTTCAAGAGGTAGTGTATGATCAAAAAACAATGGTACTGAAGGAAAAAGACCAAGGTACACTGAGGCATTGGCGAAAAGCAAGGTTCCAGAAATTGATGGAATACAAATTGAAATCTTTCAACAAACAGATACACTGGAGGCGCTCACTCAGCTACCTGGACAACGAATTGGAAGACAGCCATATTTATATCCATTACAAAGAAAGGTGACCCAACAGAATGCGGACGTCATCGGACAATATCATTAATATAATACGCAAGTAAAACCTCACTGAAGATAATTTTTTAAATGTTGCAACAAAAGTACATTGGCAGAGAACTGCCAGAAATTCAAGCTGGAGTCAGAAGAGGATGTGAAACAAAGGATATGATTGTTGATGCCAAATGAAACATGGCTGAAAGCAGAGACTACCAGCAAGATGTTTACTTGTGCATTATTGACTCTGCGAATGTTCTCCATTGTGTGGATCATGACAAACTATGGATAGTATTGCAAAGAATGGGGTACTCCAGAACACTTCGTTGTGCTCATGGTGAATCTATACATAGACCAAGAGACAGTTGTTAGAACAAAACAAGAGGATATTGAATGGCTTTAACTCAGGAAAGATGTGTTCCAGGGTTGCATCCTTTCACCAGATTTATTCAACCTGTATGTTGGATTATATGAGAAGCTAGATTATATGAAGAAGAACATGGCATCAGAATTGGAGGAAGATTTACTAACAACCTGCGATATGCAGATGATACAGCCTTGCTTGCTGAAAGTGAAAGGTACTTAAATGACTTACTGATGAAGAAAGATCAAAGGCCACAGCTTTCTGTATGGATTGAATCTCAATGTAAAAAAAACAAAAATCTTCACCATTGGAACAATAAATAACATCATGATGAATGGAGAAAAGATTAAAGTTGTCCAAGAATTCATTTTGTTTGGATCCACAACCAACATTCATAGAAACAGCAGTCAAGAAATCAGACAACATACTACAAATAGGCAAATCTGTGGCACAAGACCTCTTTAAAGTGTTAAAGAGCAAAGCTCTCAGTTTGAGGACTAAAGTGCACCTGACCAAGCCATGGTATTTTCAATCACCCATATGCATGTGAAAGTTGGACAATGAATAAGGAAGACCTTAGAATTATGTTTTTGGATTTTAATGTTGGAGAATATTGAAAGTCCCCTGTACTGCTAGAAGAACAAACAAAAATCTGTTTTGGAAGAAGTACAGCTAGAAGACCCCCAACAAGATGGATTGGCCAAGTTGCAGCATCGATGGACTCAAGCATGGCAACAGTAGTGAGGTTGGCCCAGG